ATATACAAATCAATAAATGTAATATACCATATTAACAGAGCCAAGGACAAAAATCATATAATTATCTCAATAGTTGCAGAAAAAGCATTTGACAAGATCCAACACCCATTCATGATAAAAAAAAAACCAAAAAAACCCACAGGAAATTGGAATGGAAGGCCTTTATTTCAATCTGATAAAAGCCATCTCTGACAAACCACCACCCAACATCATACTAAATGGAAAAAAACTGAAAGCTTTCACTTTAAAATCGGGAATAAGACAAGATGTCCACTGTCACCACTCTTATTCAATGTAGTTCTAGAAATATTAGCCAGAACAATTAGACAAGAGAAAGAAATAAAAGGAATAAGAATAGGAAAGGAAGAAGTTAAATTATCACTATTTGTGAGTGACATGATATTCTATATAGAAGACCTCAAAAACTCTATCAAAAGACTTCTAGCTTCAATAATGAAATTCAGTAGTGTAGCTGGATACAAAGTCAATACTCAAAAATCAATAGTATATCTCTACACAAATAACAAAGTCACTGAGAGAGAAATTAGGGAAACAACACCTTTCATAATAGCAACAACAACAACAAAAAGAAATACCTAGGAATCAATCTAGTGAAGGAAGTGAAACATCTTTACACGGAAAACTACAGTACTCTGAAAAAAGGTGATCAAAGAGGATATCAGAAAATGGAATGCTATTCTTCGTTCTTGGGTAGGAAGAGCCAATATATTGAAAATGGTTCCCATAGTTCCCAAATTGTTATACACATTTAATGCAATCCTGATCAAAATACCAATAGCACATCTCACAGGATTAGAGAAAACAATCCTAAAATTTATTTGGAACCAGAAGAAACCTAGAATAACAGAAGCAATTCTGTTCAACAAAGGCAAGTTAGGGGGCATCACAATTCTCAATTTGAAATTATGCTACAAAAGTTACTGAGATAAAAACTACTGGCAAAAAACAAAACAAAACAAAAGACCCCAAGATCAATGGAACAGATTAGAAGATGCAAAAACAACTCCAAACATACTCAGCCACCTTATTTGACAAAGGAGTCTCTTCAATAAATGGAAGAAAGATAACCTCTTTAATAAATGGTGCTGAAGCCACCCCATAATCCCAGCTAGGGTGGGAGGATCACCATGAGTTTGAGGCAAACCTGGGATACACTGTGAGTTCAGGGCCAGCCTGAACTACAAAGTGAGACCCTGTCTCTAAAAAGCAAGCAAACAACAACCAACACAAACACACACACATACACACACACTCCCCAAAGGAAAAAAATATGGTGCTGGATAAACTGGTTTTCCACATGCTGAAGACTAAAACCAAACCCATATCTTTCACTTTGCACTATACTAAAATTGAAATGGATCGAAGATCTAAGTATTAAAAACAAAACACCAAATCTTCTAGAAGATAGAATAGGTAGAACTCTCAAAGACATTGGTGTAGGCAAAGACTTTGTGAACTGAACCCCAATCACCTGGGAAATATCACAAAAGATTAACAACTGGGACCTCATCTTATTAAAAAGCTTTTGCATAGCAAAAGTAACCACCAACAGATGAAGAGACATTTCACAGTGTGGGGGAAAAAATTGCTAGCTCTTCCTCAGACAAAACACTAATACCTACAATTTATAAAGAACTCAAAAAAATCAGATCCCCCCAGATTTAAAGATCCATTCCAAAAATGAGCATCTGAATTGACTAAATGCTTCTCAGATGAAGAAGTATAATTGCAAATAAATATATGAAAAATGTTCAAAATCCTGAGATGCAAATGAAAACAATGCTGAGATTCCATCTCACTCCAGAAAGAATGGCTGTTATCAAGTAATCAACCAATAATAAATGCTGGCAGGGCTTTAGGGAAAAAAGGAACCCTTCTCCACTGCTGGTGGGAGTGTAGACTGGTGCAAGCACTGTGGAAATCAGTGTGGAGATTCCTCAAACAACTAAAACTAGGGCTTCCGTTTGACCCACCTATTTCCTTCCTTGGTATGTTCTCAATAGAATTAAAAGCATCATTCCACAGTGATTCACATACACCCCTGTTTACAGCAGCACAGTTTACAGTCACTAAATGTAAAGTTTTAGATATACATGATGATAACATTCATCAATAAAAAATAAAGTGCATGTTTGATTGGAATTATTGTTTCTTACAGACTTTAAACACATTAAAGAAATATTCAACCAGACATTAAAATGCTGTAGGAGTATCCCACAGAAGAGAAAATGAAATGAATTTTCAGAGGTAATGGGGCTTTTTTAATATCTTTCAAAACTTTATTGAAAATTTCCCAAAGGTCTTGGTTAATATTATGAACAAAATCTTGTAAATTTGGATACTGCTCATTAACAAAAGCAATTAACAAGACCATTTATGCTGTTAACAATTAGCACATAAATACAAAGTTGTTGGATTGTTAGAAGGCTAGCTGTCATTTGTTATTATAAAAACTGATTTTTAAATTATATTTTCTCCCCTTAATTTGAATTCCTGGCTTGATAAATATTAATGATGGAAGAGAACAATGGCTTTGGGATTCTTGATTATCCACATATGGACTCTGTGGGGTACTCAAGGTAGAGAATATTGTCAAAACAACATTAAGTCTTTCCTTATGGTGCACTTTGATCTACCTTCCTATGTTCTTAATCTTGTGAGCTCAAAATATGGACATACTGCAACAATGGGGATTGGAGCAGGACCACTATCCAAGGAGCTTTTTGTCTCCATGTCTTTTGCCCTGGATTTGGAGGAAATTTCTTTGACTTGTGCTTCCATTAATCTATTCTTCAACTCAGTCTGTTCTGCTTATCAGCTAATGAATCTTTAGCATCAGACATTACTTTTTAAATATGTAAGATTTCTTACTGATTGTCATGAATCAAATGTCCTTTTGAGTTTTCCTAACTACAGTTAAATTCATTTGAAATTTATCTTCTGTTTCCTTTATTAACTTGTATCTTCTGATGTTGTTTCTCCCATCCAAGTACTAACCAAGCCAGACCCTGCTTAGCTTCCGAGATCAGATGAGATCAGGAGCGCTCAGGTTGGTGTGGCTGGTAGACCTTCTGATTTTATTTCTATTAGTTGAATCTGGTAGTTCTCTTTCATGGTTTTGTCCCCCTTTCCCCCATGAAACATTTGATGATTTTGCTTGTCTGATCATCTCTCATGTGAGAATAGGTGTGCCAGTCCATTCTGTTTATTTGTTTTTTGGGAGTTTTTTTGGTACTGGGGATTGAATCCCATTCTGTTTATTTTAGCCTGTTTTCAGAGGCTGTGGTCAGTCAGAACATACTATCCTAAGAAAGTGAAAATTCCTTCTCATTTCTGGAGTCAGCAGACACCTGGGCTCTTTCTTTAGGTTCCAGTATCCCAACCACCTTCCTTATCCAACAGGTAAACAAACACCCGATACTTAATAGAAGCAAGGGAGAGGAGTCTCCTCAATGAATCATTCTGTTCTAGGGTCCCCTCCCCCTTCTCTTCCTGTGTTTTAGGGTCCCCTCCTCCTTCTTTTTCTGTATCCTCTGACACTTGTCTAGAACTTCCCTGAATTAGTCCTTCTCTTGAACCTGTTTTTAGCTGTGTCTTTTTTTTTTTTTTTTTTTTTTTTTTTTTTTTTTTTTTAACCAGGGATTGAACTTGGGACCTTGTGCTTTCGAGGCAGGTAGTGGAACCACTGAGCTAAATCCCTGGCCCTCTTGAACCCATTTTTTTTCTTCTGATTTTGTTTCTTTGCAAGTTAAATCTTGTCTCTCTTCTATAGTTCAGGATTTCCTAAACATTTTTTTGAAACATTTGTTCACCTTTTTTCCCCTCTAATTTCCTTGTGCTTTTAGTTTCCTGTTCTATTTACAACACATCTTTGTGATATTTAGGGTAGAGGAGAAGCTGAATATGTGTGCTCAGTCCACCATCCCCATCCAACCTTTATCTACAATTTTACCATTTAGGCTTCTTGTCAAATAATGCAAGCTGGTTATGAAAATTTTAGAGATACAGAAATAGACAGTAAAAATTCTCTGTTAGGTAAGATCCTGTGTCCACACTTAACATTCACTCAGCCTCACGTCTTGATTTCAGCTGGAACTGGGTTCGCAGTTCTAGCAGGAGTTCCCCACTCCCTGGCTGACAACATCTGCTGTAGTCTCAAGACTGCACCTCCCCTTCAGGCCCCAAAACTCTTCTGAAACTGCAGATTGCCTGGCAGGAAGCTGGCTGGGGGGCTTAGCATGCAGGCTGTCCACAGGTAGGGATGCTGGCAGGGGCATCGCTAACTAACAAGGATGCTGGCGTATCTTCACTTTGCACGTGGACAGTTCTGAGAGGTACTTTATACATTCTGAGGAAGTCCCCACAGACTCAGCTGCCGGATGTCACATCAGTGACCTCCACCATGGACCCTGATGTCACATTTGCCTGCTCCCCTCTTTGCACGCTCTTTAATTTCTCATTTCTCCTCTCAGAGATCTGCCTTTTCCCCCTCCCTTATTTGACGACGCTCTTTCTCTCTGTAGGTCTAACCTTCTTCTCTCACTCAGCTCTGATTTATCATTTCACTGTAACTCTATTAGCTGGAAAGCATTTGTGGTTGCTGTCAGGATAACAGGATCTGTAGCAAATGAGGTTGTACTGAATTATTTAACATTCAGCTAAAGTGGAGATAACTAAAGCAGCTGAGCTGGTTTGTAAAGTGTTGGGGTTAATCTGCTGCTTTGGAGCTTTTGACATATTAATTTTTTTCTTGTGGCTGAAAATTATAAAATTTAAAGCTACAAAGAAAAAAATATGTGTTCAACTATTTAGTTCAGTGCCACAAACCTATAGCTAAGGAATTATCTGTTTCATGTAGTATATAATTATGTAGCTGCAGAGCTGCAATTCTAGGGAATCATGAATTTATTTAATAAGTTTATTCACACAGGGTTTTAAAAAACATAAATACATAATTTCTCTTTTCTTCCTTTCAAAAGCAGATCAAGGATTTCTGCTTGAGAGACATAACAGGCTCAGCTTTTGAAATTGTCCTGTTTTAGTGGAGTTTTCCTTGCCAGAATTTGGTTCTAAAAGATTTTTTTCCCCACAAAGACCTGTTTCAAACTCAGTAATAAGCAAGTGGATTTTTTGTTTTTTGGTGCTGTGGGTGGAACCCAAGGACTGCATGTTAAGCACCTGCTCTGCCAATAAGCAACACCCCAGCCCCTACAAATGGATTCTTCCATGGGATCCACAGGAGAAGGGAATAACTACTACCCTGATGGATGACTGACTCTTCTTGTATGACCTCTCCTTTATTCCTGGGTCTTTGGGAAACTGAACTGTAAGAAGGGCCCAGGCAAGCGTGGGCTGGACTGAAGAGTTCTGTGCCTTTGTAGCACCCACGGAGTTTGCCCCACTTAGTACTTCTCAGTGTCCAAATGCCCACTATCAGATGTGTGACTACAGCTGGCAGTGAAACGTCTTTGCATGCATTCAATATACAAACTAAACCTGAACATCTGGCAATTAAACACCCTTTTCCTGATGAATCCTGGAAAAGCGCATAATTATACTCCCAAGCAAATAACTCGAGTAAGGCTGTTCGCTTGTTAAGAATACCAGGCAGCATCATCAAAGTTAATATTCTCTTCTGCATCTGTGCTCTTTTAATCTGCACTGCCCTCTCCATAATAGCTGAGATCACCCGGAGGATGGCTGGTGAGAAATCCCGCCAGGCACAGCAGGTGGAGAAAGAAGATGAAAGCTACAGGAAGGTGTGCAGCAAACCTTACTGAGCAATGACCTTGTAAAAAGTGAACTGCCCTGCAAGCTGCCCGTATATTCTTCTGTGTCTCTCTCGAGGTGACTCGGAGGTGCTGTGACGTTCCTCTTGGGCACCATCGGTTCAAATGTTTCCTCTGGCCTACTGTACCCACCCCACCCCTGCTTGCAGCTGGCTCCCAGAGACCCGGACATAGACGTGCAGGTGGGCAGGTGTGGTGGTTGCCTGTTGATTACAGTCCCGGCCGTGGGCGAGCGAGGTGGGACTGCAGGCTGCTGGCTTTGCCGCGTTCCACCCGAACTCTGGGTTTGCAGGCTGAATCTGCGCCTCCGGGCCGGCAGGCTGGGGGCGGGGGCCTCGGGCCCAGTGCCCACCCCCTGC